GTGCAGCCACGGCGGGGGGGATCCACGGACGGGTGGATCCACAGACGAGTGGATCCACAGACAGGTGCTGACTGGCGTCTTGAAGCTCCACTGTATAAATATTAAAAATGAAAAGTGTAGCAGTGAATATACAGTGTAAGGATTACAGCTTCATACATTGATTTAGTATGGACTCCACCAGGTGGCGCTGACTGACGATGGCTTTGAAAGTTCTTGAAAAAGGTGCTTGAAATGGAGCTGGAGCAAAACATTTGATCTCGTATTTTGATTGGCCGAGTCCCTGTGGGAGAGCAGCTCGTTAGCTTTAGCAGCTCGTTAGCTTTACTGGACGCCAGAGCACGGCCACGTCCCAACAGGGACCTGTAGAATCCAAATCTGTGCTGAGTGTGAAGAGTACTAGGAACACAAAGACGCTGGTACTGGTTCCTGTGGTGGTGACTTGTATGGTTTCCTCAGTGGTCACAACAACAGTTCCTGGTACTATTCCTGGTTCCCCTGAAACAGTGACAGTTTATAGTCAGTGAAGAAGATGAAGTAGAAATTAAATGTTAGTGACGTTAGCACCAGATATTCAGTCACAGAAAAACTTTTATCACCGAAACAAAACGGCCAAAACAGGAAGTAACGACGACGACGACGATCATGTCTGTGGACGTATCTCAATATTTGTGAGAGACACCCACAGACGGAGGTGTAACGGTGACGCTTTGGGGGAGTGGGTGTCCTCCAGGTCAGGTTTGATTTAACAGCTGTAATCCCAACAACAACCTGATGGTGGTGCTGGCCTGGACATTATCTTTGAATGGACAAGTTGATTTGATATTGTTCGTTGTTCATTGTTGGAATGTGATAAAGACATATTTTCATAGTTTGATTCCTTGAAACATTCATATTAATTTATTCAATATCTTTGATTTTATTGATGTTTAGTTCACAGTCAGAGTCATCAATGACCTGGTGCTAATGATAATTGGTTTCAGCCAACAATTTTAATAATGGTGCATCCTTAAATATAAGTGTTAGTAGTAGAACAAGTTAGTAGTTCCTGCAGTGCAAAGAATACAGTCTCTGGAACTGTTTAAAGCTCCAGGAAAAATGTCATGGTTCTGGTGTGGTTTCTATAAACTCAAAAAAATAACATTTGAACTTAGTGGTTTGATTTTCTCTATGAGGTTTGGTCTGAACTAAAATCTCTGATTTTCTCCATGAGGTTTGGTGCAGAAAGCGTCCATTACTCAGGGGTTAAAGGTAAAATAACTTTAATGATGCCTCAAAGTCAATTAAAGGAGACATGGGAGCTCACAGCTGCCCCCTGGAGACCAGTTTTACTGTCACTGCCGGGACCTTCATTACTTTGTGTGTGTGTGTGTGTGTGTGTGCTTCCTGTAGCTCCTGTTGACTCCTCATTAAATCCTCATGTTTGTCAGTTTATTAGTGTCACTGACTTTGTTTTGCAGCTGAAAACTGGACCAAAAAAACAAAAACAAAATGATCAGTTAACAATTAAAATGTTTGTTTTTTTGTTTCATAGAACTATGAAGTCAAAATAGTTTGGTTTAACTTGTTGGTTGTTGGTTAACAGTCCAATGGTAGGAACATTGTTTCAGTACATAACCAAATGACGATGATGATGAAGATGAAGATCATCAGCAGGAGGACCTGGCCTCCTCCAGGTTCTTCCTTGTCTTTATGAAGTGTTAAAAACAGGAAGTGTTAGTCACTGCTGGTCACAGCCTGGACTCATTAAGACTGGGCTGCAGCCCAACCCACAGGGGAGGAGGAGGAGGAGGAGGAGGAGGAGGAGGAGGAGAAGCAGCTCTATCATCACTTTGTTTCATCATTCTTACCTCCTCCATCGTCACTTCTTTAAATTGACATTGTGTGTGTGTGTGTGTGTGTGTGTGTGTGTTCCAGATGAAGAAGGAGCTCTGTGACCATGAGTCCGTCACTCAGGAGATCGTTGGAAACGCCCATGTAGAAAACTATGCCTTAAAAATGTTCCTGTATGCTGACAACGAGGACCGGTCTGGACGATTTCACAAGTGAGAAAACATCTCCTCTGTACCAATGATCTATGGTCGGTTAGGGTTGACACCCCCCCCCCCCCCCCCCCACACACACACACACCAAACTTCATACATAAAAGATTTTCTCTGTCAGCAGTTGGAAATCGTCTGTTCAGATTTAACTCAGTGACACAAACTGCCAGACGTGGCTTCTCAAAGTCCATGGAGCTTCAACAACTCCATGGACTTTGGTCTGAAATAAAATCTCTGATTTTTTCCCTGGACTTTGGTCTGAAATAAAATCTCTGATTTTCTCTATGGACTTTGGTCTGAAATAAAATCTCTGATTTTCTCTATGGACTTTGGTCTGAAATAAAATCTCTGATTTTCTCCGTGGACTTTGGTCTGAAATAAAATCTCTGATTTTCTCTATGGACTTTGGTCTGAAATAAAATCTCTGATTTTTTCCCTGGACTTTGGTCTGAAATAAAATCTCTGATTTTTTCCCTGGACTTTGGTCTGAAATAAAATCTCTGATTTTCTCTATGGACTTTGGTCTGAAATAAAATCTCTGATTTTTTCCCTGGACTTTGGTCTGAAATAAAATCTCTGATTTTCTCCATGGACTTTGGGAGAATTACTGTTAGTTGAATGAATGGGCTCCTTGTCGTTCAGTGTGTTAAAGGAAGTTTCTTATTTCACCTAGTTTCTTGTAAATTTCGCTTGTGTGTGTGTGTGTGTGTGTAGACCTGGCTTCTCTTAGCTTCACCCTCAGCATCTTGTTAAAACAGCAGTTCTTGGCGCTCCTCGTTCTGCTCCTCGTTCTGCTCCTCGTTCTGCTCCTCGTTCTGCTCCTCGTTCCACTAATGTTCTTCTTCTTCTTCTTCTTCCGTTCTCCTGCAGGAACATGATCAAGTCCTTCTACACAGCCAGTCTTCTTCTGGACGTTCTGTCTGTGTTTGGAGAACTTTCAGACGAGGTAAGAACCACAGCCTGACTGCTGTACTGAGTGGAGAAGCCACAGGTCAAGGGTCAACCCTCCGGGGTAAAGGTTAGCCAAACACAGCTTTTAGCGTGTTGGCTAAAAGGTCGTCAAATGTTCGCTCACATTAGCTTACAGTGCATCAAAAGCTAACAATAATTTAGCCAAAGGAGACTAAAGGTTAGCTCATCATCATCACACACACACACACACACACACACACACACACACGCAGTCCTCAGTTTCTTGTCTCGGCTCCACCTTCAGGCTCCAACTTTCCTGTCTCGGCTCCACCTTCAGGCTCCAACAGAGATTTTCTCTCTTCTGTGATGTTGTTGTTTTGGCTCCGCCCACTAACGACTCCTAACAACAAGCCACACCCGACCAGCGCAGCTCATGAGATTGAACGAATGAGTTCTCCACCAGCAGGGGGCAGTAGCCTAGGCTCCATGGTTTAGTTGTATCTAAGTCTTAACTGAGAAAAGCTAAAGGTCCACGTCCAAAATAAAAGTTCAACCTATCACAACAGTGTAGGCCAACACAGAACGAAATGTTAGCCCCAGCGCGTAGCTAAGCTCAAATAAAGCTGAAGATTTTAGGAAAAGGCTAAAATATAAATGTAGTCTTGAAACATGACGTATCTGTGGAGTAAAGCTAAACGTTAGCCTTCAACTCTTAGCTGTGCTAACATTTAAAACCTTAATGTTATTACAGCAACAGTCGTAAAGAAAGTTGTGGTCGTGGTATTTAAAACGACGCTGACATTTTCTCTGAACGTCCTGTTGTTGGCACCAAGGTGGCGCTGTGACGTCACCCTGTTTTTCTCCTCCTTTGTCCTGGCTTATCAGGACCAAGCAGGAGGTGCTGCTAATCTGCTCCGGCTCACTTCCTCCTCGGCACCTCCCTAATACAAGGCCTCAGCTGTCAATCACTGTCATCGTCATGGCAACCGCTGCTGCTGCTCCTGCTGCTGCTCCTGCTGCTGCTGCTGCTGCTGCTGCTCCTACTCCTGCTGCTGCTGCTGCTGCTGCTCCTACTGCTGCTGCTGCTGCTGCTGCTGCTGCTCCTACTCCTGCTGCTGCTGCTGCTGCTGCTCCTGCTGCTGCTGCTGCTGCTGCTCCTACTGCTGCTGCTGCTGCTGCTGCTGCTGAAACAGAACTGGTTGACATTTCTTCACTGCTCTGTTAAAACTGTTAGCTAACATTTAGCTAACAGTTAGCTAACAGTTAGCTAACATTTAGCTAACATTTAGCTATGATTGCTGGTTGTTTTGGCTAACGTTGAACTATTCCAGAGAAGATGAGACTTTTTTCAGGCCACGCTGAGGAAGTTCAGTCTGGAATGTTCTAAAGCACCGTCTGTTAGAACCCATGATTCCGTTCTCCAACCACTTCTCTGTTTGTTTTGTTGTTCTTTTGATATTTCGGTGTCTGCGTCTTTTTTAGTTGTCGTGGCCTCGGTGACAGCAGCTGTCCACAAGGGGCAGCAGTGTTCCAGAAACATTACTCATCTTCTTCATGTGTTTTCTTCATCAGAACATCCAACACAGGAAGTACGCTCGCTGGAAGGCCACGTACATCCACAACTGTCTGAAGAACGGAGAGACGCCGCAGGCTGGACCAATAGGAATGGAGGGGGAGGAGCAGGAGGGGGAGGAGGGGGAGGCAGGTGTGTGTGAGGTCATCGTGACATTCAGACATTCAGTTTTTGTAACATTTTAAAACAAATGAACAGATGACAAAGTTCAGGTGGGTGGAGTCAAACCACAGAACAACAGAAGTGTGTGTGTGTGTGTGTGTGTGTGTGTGTGTGTCGCTGATGTCACACAGCTGTGTCAGCAGGGTGTGGTCCAACATATGGAGCGGGTTGGTGATGTTTTGTTTCGGTTGTTCCGTTCAGTTTCAGACCCCAGTGGGTGGAGCCAAAGGTTGACTGAACTTTTCTACCACCAGGGGGCTTGGTGTGCATGGCCACGACTCACTAGCCCCCTGGTGGACAACACCAAAATTGCGGCTTCATTAATTGGCCCTTCCTTCTCTCTGGTAGACGAGTTTGGAGCAGTTGGATTTTCCGGCTCAGGCCCCGCCCACAGCGGCTCCTTCAGAGGGGGCGGTCCTTCAGCTCAGGACCAGAGTCTGGATCCTGGTCTTGGTCCTGGGATTGGGTTCACTGCCGGTCCTGGCTCGGGTGCACCCAACTACAACAACATCTACGTCCCTCCAGGAGCCCACGCACCAGCCAACACCCCGGCTGAGCTACCGCCACCTGCAGGTAGGTTCAACAAACACACCTTCACCGTAAAACCTGCTGCTGGTGTTTTTAACGTACTGGACGTGTGACACGAGCCGCCATGTTAGAAGTCAAAGGTCAGCGTCGATGCTAACATGAAGCCTTGTTGTTTGTGCAGACGTAGGTAAACCAGTACCGATGCCTCGGTCAGGGCCAGCTGTGGACCAGCAGCAGGGTGAGCACACACACACACACACACACACACACACACACACGCACACACACACACACACACACACACACACACACACACACGCACACACACACACGCACACGCACACGCACACACACGCACACACAGAGTGACTTACATTACCCACAATGCCATCCCTCCGGAGCTTCCATGCTGCAGGTCAAAGGTCAAAGGTCAGGCTGCAGTAACTTATTCAGGTACTTCTGTCTTTTTCCTCCGTCCTCCCAGCAGGTGGCGTTCATCTAACGCCAGAGGATTTCACCAAAGCACAAAAGTACTGCAAGTACGCAGGCAGCGCGCTGCAGTACGAGGACGTGGCCACGGCCGTGCAGAACCTGCAGAGGGCGCTGAAGCTGCTGACCAGCGGCAAAGAGTGACGCCTTTGTCTTCACACACACACACACACACACATACACACACCCTGTCAGACGAGGACACCAGTCGCTAACAATAAGTGTCTTTGTGTGACGCCGTCGCACTGATCGACCAATCAGAGCCTCATCATCGATGATGTCATGGTTTGGAATTTAAACGTAAACGTGGAGAAAAGTCGGACGGAAAATTAAAGCAGCAGAGTCGCCCCCTAGTGGCAACCCTTTTCACTATTTCAGCTGCAGAATTAGTTTTTCTGAGCAGGGTTTGTTTGTGTCATGTGTGCGCCCCCTGGTGTCAATGACCTCTTCTGTTTCCAGTTCAACTCTTTTTTTTTTTTCCTTGACGTTATTTACAAATGATTAAAACAAATCACCTGCTGCTTGTGTCCACTGGGTGGAGCTAAGGGTCGGCCATTAATCAAACCTGTGTTTTAGAGGAAGACGGTGAATGAAAGCAGAAAGAACGTTTGGCTGTGGGGACTCAGTAGGAGGCGCTGTTCATTTAGTGATTTTTTTTTCTGCAATGGTAATCAGAGAAAAAGAATAAAAACATTTAAAAAATGGAACATGTTTGTTTTCCTGTTTGTTTGTTGACGCATGTGACTGGTGAGGTCACCCTGGTGAGGTCACCGCGGTGAGGTCACCCCGGTGAGGTCACCCTGACGATGTCACCTCGGTGAGGTCACCCCGGTGAGGTCACCCCGATGAGGTCACCCCGGTGAGGTCACCCCGATGAGGTCACCCCGGTGAGGTCACCCCGGTGAGGTCACCCAGGTGAGGTCACCCCGGTGAGGTCACCCAGGTGAGGTCACCCCGGTGAGGTCACCCTGACGATGTCACCCCGGTGAGGTCACCCCGGTGAGGTCACCGCGGTGAGGTCACCCCGGTGAGGTCACCGCGGTGAGGTCACCCTGGTGTGTTTTCCCTCGTCGTGGTAATGTTTACATTGTTCTCAGACTCTGATCGTGGTTGATGCTAACTTTTAGAACATTTGTCCAGCTGATGCTAACTTTTAGAACCTTCGTCCAGCTGATGCTAACTCTAGCTAACATTTAGCAGTGTTTGGAATCCTTTTGCTTTTTCTACTTTTTGGTGTTTACTAGAAGAACTCTTTGAGCTAACGTTGTTAGCGTTAACTCTTGGCTCATTTTGAATGTTTTGTTTGAAAATCCAATGTGTTTTTCTCAGTTCAACAGGAAGTTTCTTGGCTCTGATTAATACAAGGCTGAGCTAAGCTCCGCCCACTCTGTTGGGGACTCCTCGGCTGTGGAAAAAAACCCACCAATGAGGAGAGCCACTCCCTCCTGGTGCCCGCCCACTGTCCCTCTCTCTGAGGCTCCACTTGTTTCTCCTCCCTCCTCCTCCTCCTCTCACTCTGCTGCTCCTCTCTCTGCTGGACATTTTCTGGACGCTGATCTCTGTGGATTCTGACGGACAACTTTTGAGGAGTACGGCGATGAAGAGGACGGTGGAGGTGTGGTGTCAGCGTCTCCTCCAGCAGCTGCTGCAGCTCCACTGAGAACATGTGAGTTTCACACCTTTCTGTCCAACAAGCACCGACACCTGGAGCTAAAACAAAAGGAAAAGGAAAAGAAATGACAGATTTCACCATTTATTTAATGAAAAAAGGTTTTTTAAATTTGAAACTATACAAACTATATTGGCAGGAGAAGAACATGGAAAAAAACACCAGATAATTCTTCATTTTCAGAAGATGACATCAACAGAAAAGTGACAAGAAAGCAAAGATGAAGGAGGAACTGGGAAATGCCTCATTCTGCCAAAAACAAAACCTCATTTTTCAAAAACCAATTTTTTTCAAAAAAAACTCATTTCTCAATGAGGTTTCTTTTTATTGTAAATATAAACTCAACATTGATTGTGTATACATTTTCCCTGTTATGTTTTAGCAGGATCTAAATTATAAAACTGTAAAGGCCAGTGAGACAAATGTGTTTTTGTGAATTTGGTCTGAACTAAAATCTCTGATTTTCTCCATGGACTTTGGTCTGAACTAAAATCTCTGATTTTCTCCATGGACTTTGGTCTGAACTAACATCTCTGATTTTCTCCATGGACTTTGGTCTGAAAGGGTAAGGTAGAGGAGGGAGTAAAAGACGTCAAAGAAGGAGAAGAGGAAGACGGGAGGAAATCAATGAAGAGGAAGTGATTTGATTTTGAGGAGATGGCTGATGATCACATGACATTGATCCAGCCATTGATTGGCTGCTGCCAACAGAAAGTTGACTTTGGTTCTTCTTCCTGCTGGACCGTGGTGAACACGGATTATTAAAACTAGAACCGTTATAAAGTTAACCACCTTAACTTAGTTTAAGAGCTGGTTAACTCAGGTTATCAGGAGGCGGTGCTTCTTATCTGACTGCTCATTGGTCAAACAGTCGTTCCCTCAGCGTCTCAGTCTGAAATGTCGGCTCCGGTGTGAAAGTCAAAACTTGTTCTGGAGAAAATGTCTGACGTGGGCGTGGCCTCCTCGGTCATGAATGAAGGCCTTTATCTAATGGACGCTGGCGTTGGGGTCCGAGGCCCCGCCGCTGACCCCGGGCTGCTTTTCATTCATGGCCTGAGACGGAGGCGGCGGCAGGAAACGAGGAGACGCACGAGTCCACAAAGAGAGGAGTTGATGCTGAATGTCAGGAGGAGCAGGAACATCTGAGATCTTCAATATTCATGAAGGTCCAGAAGATCTCAGAGCTCAGGTTCCCCAGGCCACAGTGGTCCAGGTCCAGGTCCAGGTCCAGGTCCAGGTCCAGGTCCAGGTCCACAGTTGAAGCAGGAAGCCGTGTGTCCTTCTTTAACAGTGAAGTGGAGCCTGATTGGCTGAAGAATCTTCTTCATCTTTGTTCCTTCTTTGTTGACGTTGACGTCTCTGAAGAGACAAACAGGAAGTGAATGTTTCACCTCACTGATGGCGGCCATCTTTTTTTTGTTCAGGGAGTCCAGGACTGGCGGAGGAGGAAGAGGGGGAGGAGTCAGAAGGTGGAGGCTGCGTCACATGATCACAGTCTGGGTGCTGTTGTGTTTTAACCTGCACCACCATGGTAAGCTAATGCTAGTTGAAACGCTGGAGCTAATTTTAAACCGTTGAGTTTAATGTAACAGTGACTAACGATACGTTTCTATTGGCTGTTGTTTTTCAAACCGTTGAATTACCTTTTAGCTGACGCTAACTTTAAGCTGCGTCTTGGGGATCTTTTAAGAATTTTTGGGGTGAAAATACGCTACGTACATTTAACCTGCGGCTAATCTTTGATTTTTTTTTTCAAGCTGTTGTTGCCATGTTTCTGTTTGTCGTCAGTGTCTCCGTCCTCAACGTCTTCTAAAAAGTAAAACCATTTCTTCTGCTATCCCAGAATTCATGCTAACCTTTAACCTTTCTGTGCTAACCTAACATTGTTCATCTTTTTTACAATGCAAGAATTATTTGTTATTCGTCCTGTATTTTGGCTAACCTTTAGCTCATCTACAGTAGCTGGCTAACCTTTAGCTCATCTACAGTAGCTGGCTAACCTTTAGCTCATCTACAGTAGCTGGCTAACCTTTAGCTCATCTACAGTAGCAGGCTAACCGTTAGCTCATCTACAGTAGCTGGCTACCCTTTAGCTCATCTACAGTAGCTGGCTACCCTTTAGCTCATCTACAGTAGCTGGCTACCCTTTAGCTCATCTACAGTAGCTGGCTAACCGTTAGCTCATCTACAGTAGCTGGCTAACGTTTGGCTCATTCAGAGTAGCCGGCTATCCTTTCGCTCATCTACAGTAGCAGGCTAACCTTTAGCTGGTTATGTTAAGAATTTTACACCATGTTTGTGTCGGTTCTTTCACAAAGAAACAGAATCTCAATGTTTCACACACACACACACAGCGCTCTGATGGTGTGTGTGTGTGTGTGTGTGTGTGAAACATCAGTATTGATGAGTGACTGGAATGTGTCCACACACACACACACACACACACACACACACACTCTTGTCAACAGCTGGTGATCACAGTCTCACCTGTGTCTCCACATCTTCATGATGAAGTGACGTCTAGTAAAACCTCAGTAG